TCAGTATTATTGTTATAAAAACTGGTGCTGCTATCATTAATAACAACTTTACATCTACAATTGGAATAGGAAATGAATGCAGGATGTACCAGTAGTGGAGCTGTACTTATGTAAACACATAGACTGTAGGTGTCAGTTATGCATTATGTAGGAAGTGGTGATTTATGCATTTCTGTGACAGAGCCGTGAGAAGGGATCCACACTTTATAGTCCTCGTGTGACAGAGTCTGCGCTGACTGTGCCAAGAGTTTTGAAAACGTTGACTTGGTGTAGAAGATTGTGACCCAAAGGCTTTTATTTTGTCTTTAACTGGAACGGAAGTGGGTGTGTTATTGATGTGGGCTTGTCTCAAGTGTGGCACCGCTCAGTTGTGTGTGGAAAGCAGGACGCGCGGCTGAGGGCTCATCATGTCACCACTTGGATTAAAAGCCATTGTTGGAGAAAGTAAGAAGTGTTTATTTGATTTATAATAATACTTTTATTTGTAGAACTAAAACATATTGACATGGTTTATCATCCATAGATGACTGTAGAGTATTATACCAAAGACATGGAGTGTGGAGTATAGGGATGAAGGGTTATCCACCTTCAGAGTGAGATATCCAGTGAGAGGAGGAACGCTTCTTTCATGATGTCAGTGTAGTTATTAATAATGGTGATACAGATGAAGCAGCTCCTGGTGTTTTATCCATCCTGGGAAGTTCGATGCGCTTCTTCTGTGTGCCACATCCGAGGCACGCAGCTCAACAGATGGATGCCTCTGATTTTACTGTCAGGGAAAGTAGTGCTACAAACTTGTTGTTCGGTGATGTTCGGTTGGACTCGGGTTTCAGTTTCTATGTTGAATGATCCGTTTTTGGCGTTTGTCTGGAGAAGAGGAGCAGAGTCCTGGTTGTGCGTAAATCCTGCCTCGCTAATCTTTGCCTGTGCGGATTAAGAGCTGTGACATCATCAGAGGAAGAGGAAGAGGAGGAGGATGAAGGACAGACTCACCGACAACTAACAAGCGTCTGTTGTCTGCTGTCAGCTGTACTGTAGCCCATCATTGAACATCATGCAAACATTATTGTAACATAGGGATTTGCTTTCACACGCAAACAATTGCGCTCTGACGGGACTAAAGATGCGCACCCTGAAAGAAACCTAGTTATATTTACTGACAATTTAAGGTCCTATGATAATAACATCAGTTAGAACAGGATTTCTAACAATTAGAATGTAATTGTAAGCAGATATGATAGCGAACAATATTTAATGTAAGCTAAACAACTGTAACTGTGGACACTTCTCTGTGACAGACAATGAATGAATAATACAAACACTTTATATATCTGTTCTAAGAAAACAATTAAAAGACATATCTGGTTGTGTATCGGTTGTGAAAACCTTGACTCGTTTTTGTCCCTTTTATTTGGCAGTAACAGTTTAACATTAATAAAACATTTTTTAGCATCAGATCTTATGCAGCCTTGTAGGATAATAGTCATAGCACCCACTGGTCAGGTTTGCAACTCTAAAGCTGTTCCTGTTCAAGTCTTAACGTTACCTGACAGAGCACTTCAAATTATGCATCGATCCAAGTAAACTCACCTTGTGTTTTTAGCTCTTCTTGGCTATAAAATCCTTTGCATATCATTTCAGCAAATACCATCAACAACTAAAGCCGCAGCTTCTAAGCTGACATGCACAGAGGATGAGACAGTGTGCTGTGGCCAGAACCTTAACCGCAGACAGCGATACACAAACTCTCCTGGTTTAATGTATCTGGGCTGACAAGAGAGTTAGACTACTGTCCACGGGCAAGTCATTTAATGTCATGTGCCAAAAAAAAACGGAACAACATCAGCATCCGTTGGCATGTCCTTAAGCTTTAGAAGGTCTCTCCACTATAGTCCGACTGTCCATCACAACAAATCCTGGTTGATCTTAGTATCATTGGCTTAGTGGACGGTCAAATGGGCCTCCACATTAGTGAGTGGGTGGCCAGTCAATATACCCATTGAGTTTTTTAATTGCCACCGTCAGTCTGTCCCCTCCTTCAAGTCTGACTGTGTAGTCTCCACTGTTGGAAAGCCTCATATTAACACAACTCTTTGCCTTTTAAAATGTTGTTCTTCTGGAACTTCCTTCGGCTGTTCCTCAGCTTTCTCTTTGTCTTGACAGTGTGATTATGTTTTTGATTACATGCGACCTTCATGTCACTGCTGGTCGATGCCTCTTCAATTCACTGTCCTCGTCCGTAGACCTAATCAACCCCCTCAAAAACTCCACACAGTCAGGAAGCAACAGAACGGTAGACTGCTCCTTCTCTTTCCACTGCTAATCCTTAAATAGGCACTGGCATCTGTTGGCATGTTAGCATTCTCTTGCTTGTCCTCTTTCTTCCAACCACGGTCACTGCAACAGAATTGGCAAAGCTTGAATTGCCTGGTGCCCAGAGCTGAGAGGGGTTGTCCAAGAATGGCTGATTACGTTAGTCCACAGCGACGACATTTATGAGAATCCCCTGACAATCTTGATCAGCAATTTCCACAGCCTTTGGTTGAATGGGTCGCTTTCACATGGGGCTCCATTTTTTCTCCAAACACTGCTCCAATCGCCCCTCCTCTTCTCTTCTTTCCTTTGCTGGAGTAGTGCTGTGCGACTCGATCCGAGAAGCTTTGTTGCTTTTATCAGACCCAGGGCTGTGTACAAATGTGTACGGTTGTATGGACAGCTGGAGGACTGTGCAGAGATTTTTTACAGAATTTGACAAAACACTGTATTGGATTTGAATCACTGATGATTTATACCTTTAACAAAGCCACAACTGTGCCTTTTAGATGACAATGTATTGCAACAAATTCCAAAACCTTGATCTATAGATTTGAACTTAATTCATGGAAAAATACCAACATCTTTCTCCCCTTATCAAAGGTATTTCTGATTTCATAATTTTTTGTGGCTAAACTATTGAAGAAATTCATATTTATGTCACTCGTGTGAAACCTTTATATCCCAGTGATCATTCAGAAAAATAATACATGTGCTTGCTGTTAAAGGACAAACCTTTTTTGCTGAAGAATTAGATTTAGTCACAGATCCAGTTAGTGCTCAACAGATGTCCCAGAAACGAAACATATAAAATATTAAGTTTGTCATTTTCACAGAGGAGATGCCAGATGCTGTTGAGGAAACAGGAACTTACTCAGCTTTGGCCGATGCAGAGCTACATCATCCGTTTTACAGTACTGAAAGTAAATCAGGATCACTGCAAAAATATATTTTTCTATGATACCATTTAAAGGTCCAGTGTGTAAGATTTAGGTGAAAGGGAACTATTGGCAGAAATGTAATGTAGAATAATCCTCATGATGTTTTCACTAGTTCATTTCATCTAAATTGTATGAATTGTAGTTTTCTTTACCCCAGAAAAGGTCCTTTATATTTAAATACTTTATATTTACATGGAGGGGTCCCTCTCTACAGAGGCCGCCATGTTTTTTACATTAGTCCAGACTGAACAAACTAAACACCTTTTGAGTTTTTATGACAACTGAAGCTACCACAGGTTCTTTTTCATGTTTGGAAGGGGAGGGTGAGGTGAGGGGTGTTCAGCTGCAACATGCAACTTCAACACTAGATATCACAATATTCTACACACTGTACCTTTAAAATAATGTTCAAAACAATACAAAACATTTTCAGAAGTGAGATCATTGAATTCCTGTCAGTAAGAAGACCCATCCGTTTTACCAACTACGTTAACTTAAACATACGTTTACCACATCACTCAGCACATGAACACCTATCAGCAGGGGCATATATTTATACAAATTCTGTTTGCTTGTGATTCAATAGCAAATCCAAAGTTATGGCACACACCACTGATCAGAGGGGTGGTGTCATCCCACTTTCTAAATGTTGCAAGGACCAATGCTTCACATGAAGGAACTCGCTTTGTCTATTTCAGAGGCCAAGTTAAACAAAAAAGCAAAGTCAGCCTTAGTTGTAATTGGATATAGGATTGGAAAACTGGACAATTAGGATTAAATCAAAAAAATTGAGAATTTTACAGTGTAGCATCTATAGTATCTTGATCTAACTCATTTTATCATTCAATTTTTATTTGACCTATAATAGAGTTTTTCAATACAGCATGGGCACAGCACTGCTTGTAGTAGGGTTGTAGAGATGCAATATAGTCAGACATTAATGTAACTAATGAACACAACAGTCTCCTCTTCCATCACATCTGCTTCTCCTACAGAAAGTTGCTAGTTACAACTACTTACTGTGATAAAAAATCAAGTTACACAGATCTATCTACAGATCTATCTACAGATCTATCTACTGCAGCAGCCTGTTGTTGTTTATCCAGCCTGTGAAAGCTGCTTGTGTCCCATTCTTTCACAACACCTCACCACCTAATCCTGTTGACTAATAGGATAATCGGGACCATTCACTGATGCATGCATCATTTACTGTCATGACCAGCTTTCCTCAGACAGCAGGGGCTGGCCGACTGGAGACTGGAGGCTTTCAGAGAGCTGGTCCACCTTTAAAGATATGTCTTGTGATAATTCATATTATGTTTTCATTTAATCTGAGACAGATATTAAAGAATTATCTTCAGTTTCATATTTTCACAGTTATTGTCATGAGCTGTGCTGTTGGCTCATTTTTATCACAGTATCTCAGTGATGTCCTTGTAATGTTTTTGAAGAAACTCTCTATGTGAAACATCGTCCTGGCTCTCTGTGGAAACGGGACATGTTGACTTATTTTGGAAGAAGATTGTTTCTGCCACCCCCCTCCTCTCTCTTTCTCCTCTCTCTCTCTCTCTCTCTCTCTCTCTCTCTCTCTCTCTCTCTCTGTCTCTGTGTGTGTGTGAGAGCCAATGTTGCTGCTTCCCCTGTGACGTCACGTCCGCTGACACAGAAACGGCCCAGAAATAGTGGTGGGGAGTGGTGGATGGGGTAAGAGGATTGGGAGCAGATTAGAGGCAGTGATTGCAGTGGGCCCTTCATGTTCAGTTTGACAGACCGGACAGGACTTAAACCCCCACTGAGAAAAATTGGGACGGTGCTCATCAACACAAGTGATAGGATGTCATGAAATGCTGGGACCTGTCTCTCAAACATCAGTACGATTCACATCTCTTGAACTGACTCATCACCCTATGTTATTCTGTCTGTAATGAATTCTTTTATTGATAATATTACATCATACATCATGTTGGTGGTGCACAGTTTCCCCATGATAGGGTCACAACAATCATCTGTCCCCCGGTTTTCCTGCTGTCCAGCTGTACTGCAGCATCACAGGAGTTTTATTAGGGTTTGCACAATCAAGGTTCCATGAGATTGTGCATGTTTCAAATTATGAAAGGCTTCAAATTCTCCTTCCTTGGCATTTGAGAGAAATTTTAATTTCATAATCACAGACACATTCTTTTTTGCAGTGTAAAATTATAAACGGAGATGATATATTGAATTTGCATGGTGCATGGCGGAAATATGTTTTCACAAATTAAATTTGCTTTGGTTGGTTTATTGTTATTTTTTACCCTGCTATTGGTATATTATCATTACTTATTACCAACGCATGCCTGTCCTTATATACAGTGGGAGAACTGGGAGTTCAATAGTAGTCCACTGATTATTTTCTTTCTAGGTTGAACTGAGTTATTCCAGCTGTGGTGAAGTCAGAATTACAAGGAACAGTTGTGTGAGACTGGTTGTTATGATGAGAATTACAAGAGTGACAATTGCAGATGTATAGATGTTATTAATGAAAGCAGCACCAGATATTATAATAATAATAACAATAATACTGCTCAGACAGTGATTCTCTGAGATGTTTAGGGCCGATTACAACGACCTCAGTTTTGTGTGAATTTAGAAGTAAGAAGTTTGATGTTCTTGAGACATTCCTGAAGTTGAACTAAGTGATTAGATTCATCAGGCTTCATAGAAATGTACAGCTGGGTGTCATCTGTGTAACAATGGAAGTGTACATGGTGCTTTCTGATGATGTTGCCTAAAGGGAGCATATATAAAGAGTATCGGTTCATTGTTAACATTAACAAAATGGAATCTATCTGATAAATATGACTTAAACCAGCCTAATGCTGTTCCTTTAATCCCTACATCAGGATATTGGACAAGAGGAAGCACTGACAGAAATGTTTGCACAAAAATCCAATATAAAGTTTGCATCCAAATTATCTTTAGTCAAGATAGCTTGCTACAATCAAGTCTATTTTTCATATTTTCTGAAATACATCATCTCCAATAGTGATCCTGGGTTTAACACTTCTTTAACAAGTTTTCAGGTTTTATAATGTGGTATTTCTGTTTTGTTTCTTTACAGAGATAATGAACAATGTCATCAAGAAGGCAAGAGAAAAAGGGAAGTGGAAGGTAATGGCCCTGTTATTCTGGTCAAAGAAACTCTCATCTTGGAATTGCATATGAATACATTCACTCACAATATCCTAAATAAAAATCTTCATGTAAGCTGCTGCTGTGTATACTTGTGTTCAAGGTGCTGGTGGTGGACAAGCTGAGTATGAGGATGATTTCCTCCTGCTGTAAGATGACAGACATCATGTCAGAGGGAATCACCAGTAAGTACACCCGCCCAGGTCACCTCAGGACACTTCAGCTGTAGCTCTGAAGTCAGTTTATCCCAATGTGCTGTAGTTTCATTTAAATCAGTTCAGCTAAGAGGATCTAATAACACCTACTGTGGATGTTTCATCTCCACAATGTTTTCAGTTGACACTAATTAATGCATGTGAGAGGAATACAATTGGAGGACAAAGGCTTTGTGGATAACATGAGCTTGAAAATAGAAGTGTGTAATATAGTAGTGTGTCAATATACATTCCTCAACAACTCTTGTGTGATTTTATGCTAAAACTATGTTTTATCTTTATCCATGATCTCAGCACTTATTTGTCCCTGGTGGTGGTGCTGCCTCAGTGAGGACAGGTTTTGTAATTTCATCTCTGTAGAAATGATGGTGCCAAACCTCCCAATTTCCCTGGTTGATAAGACTTCAGGAAGCTACACACAGTTACTGCTGGGGGTGGTCATGAAATGGTTCCAGAATATCCAATTTCTATCCATGAAACAGCACAGTGTCCTTATATAAGCGTGTTGGTGCACAGTTTGTACAGTTTGTTAACTGGTCACCATAACAGCTGCTGGATCAGTGGTTTTTCATCCGGCTCATCATCTGTTTGCTCCTGTTTACTATTATTTGCACTGTTAGTCGCACTAGAGATCACAAACACACACACACACACACACATCCCCCCATTGTTGTTAAAGCATACAAAAGATATTGAGGATAGAACTTAATTTGTTTAATTTGAGGATGTCATGGCAGAATATGATATAATGTAAGTCAATAATAAAGGAGAGCAGCATCATAGATGGTCATATTTATGAGACTGAGGTAAAGAGTGAAATGATGTCTTCACCTCTTAATACCAACACAGTGAATGGAGCAAACAACACACTGTAGTCATTTAACTCTCATTCAAATCATAGCACAAATATCCTGAAGTGGGAAAAAAGGTTTTAGTTCCTGCTCTTTCAAAGGACAAAGAAATATTTCAAAAAGTGATCCAGCATGTGAGAAAAATGTGAGTAAAGCAAAGAGTAAAGAGTTTGTCCATCATTAAACTTTGACTCATGTGAGGGATCTGAGTGTCCGACAAACTACACACTCACAGTCAGTGGAGCTGGATGACAAGTATTGATTATAGCTGTTTTCCTCAGTTGTAGAAGACATAACCAAGCGGCGTGAGCCTCTACCCAGCATGGAGGCCATCTACCTGATCACACCTTCAGACGAGGTAAATCATCGAGCTCCTCTTCAAGGGTTTTAGATTTCTATGGTAGAGAAATACATGTCTCACAGTTTCTCACTAATGTCTTATTAGCTTCCTTCATTCTGTAACACATATAGGTGTCATAGTTATAGATAGAGTCCCAATTCAGGAGCCACATCCGTCAAAGGCCGAACTGAAATGAGATGGTGTGTTTGACAGAGGATTTTCTGTTTGCATCGCTAATGTCACATAACACGAAAGTATTTTTTAAAAGATTGAGATTGTAAGGACCATTGTTTTTTCAACAATTGTAACGTTAGTTATTTGATTGAGTCTAGGGCTGTGCAATAAAACACTACCAATAACTGACAAAATATAATTTTCATCGTTAGCAGTATAACTAAAGTGCATTATGATGTATATCGATATATTGCTCATGCACTGTGTAAGCACAGTGAGGAGGTGTAATATAACCAAATGTTTCTCCTCAGATTTACAGCTGTTTTTCAAGTGTTTCCTTTTAAAACACAACCTTCACTCAGGAGCAAAAATCTGTCTTTAAACTTAACAGAAACAATAATGTGATATTTATCATGATAATGATCTAAATTTAGAAATATCTTACCATGACACAATTATTGTCTTTATCACCCAGCGCTAATTGAGTCTGATAATAACATTTGAAAATGTACTTCTTGGAGTGTTCTTTTGAGTGTTTCATTGTTATTTGCTATTATGAAATCCAATAAGTCACCAAGACACAAAGAATCCTTTGTTGCTATGTCATTTGAAAGTTGCCACTTTGAAACAATTGGTCTTCAAATTCAAAGGATGTGGAATTGGAAAACATGTATAGTAAGCTTGGGTGGCAGTGGAAATAAAAATAGTAATTCTACTTCTTTTAAACATTACATTATGTTTAAGTAAGTAACACATTAGCAAACATCTTCACAAACACACAGTTTTGACTCAGTGGCTCAGTCAAAACATGTTCTCTGTTGTCCTAGTCTGTGGAGAGTCTGATCGATGACTTCAGAGACCCACAGTCTCCGAGGTACCGGGCAGCTCACGTCTTCTTCACCGACAGTAAGTCAATCTTCATCAACATACATGGACCATTTAAAAACTCAAATTTAACCTAGCTAGTGGCCAGAGGCATTGTGTTTTTTGGTTGTCCATCTCTGCGTACATCTGTCTGTCCATATGTCCATCTGTCCCTATGTCCCATTTTCGTGAGCACAATATCTCACAGTAACCTCACAAAGCAAATCTTTTCACATCTCTGGAAGCCCAGGTTGAGTGAAGGTCTTCAAATTTGGTCCAAACATTCACTTAGACTCAAAGATAAACTGATTTTATTGGTTGAAGATCAAAAGGTCAAGGTCACATGACTGTACGTAATTTTGAACATGATACATCAGGTCCAAATGTAATTTCATTAAATGTGGCACAAACATTCAGACCTCACAAAACACATTTTTGATGAATTGAGGGAATCCTTTCCCATTCGGCACAAACATTTTCTTGAACTTGGATTTTATTTTTCGAAGCCAAAGGTCAAGGTCATAGTGGCCTCCGGAAGTATGTTTATGTTTTTCTTGAACATGATATCTGAAGAACAGCTTGAGGGAAAGTCTTCAAATTTAGTACAAACATTCACTTGGACTCAAAGATGAACTCATTAGATTTTGGTGCCTGGAGGTCAAAGGTTGATCTCATGTCCCTGTGAATGTGATATATTAGGCCTGCCCGTAGGGAATTTCTTTACATTATTACATTTAAATGCTGAAAGGTAAAAGGTCGAGGTAACAGGGGTGTCATGTTTTTGATAGATGTCACACCTTGTTATGCCCTATGAGACAAATTGTGATTTCTGAATATGGGCTCCAAATATAATTGATTGTTTGATATAAAGAGATTATGTTTCAGTAGTTAAAAGTCACACTGATCTTATATGAATCTGGAAAAAAAGTATGTAGAAATATGAACACAGAAACTGCGCTGGTGTGCGGAGGCATACAACCACAGTGCGGTAATTCTAGTTTTCTGTGATTCTCTGCAGCGATCCCAGACATCTTGTTTGGACTGTTGACCAAATCCCGCGCCTCCAAAGCCATGAAGGCCTTGACTGAGATCCATATCGCCTTTCTGCCCTATGAATCACAGGTAAGACTCTGTCCAGACTGGGATTAGACCACGGCAGCTGCTCGTAACCATCTACTTGTGGGATAAATCCGGTTTGGAAGAATTTCAGTCAACAGTGTGTAAAACCTGCAGAGAAACCTGCCTGGTGTGTTACTTTGAGTGCTGTTTGTTTTTATGTTGAGATGCAGTGTGTATGGTGTTCTTGTCACATTATTTGAACTGTGTGTGAGTACTGTGCATCATTGCTCAGGAGCTGTATGAACATTTGGATGGATGTGATGAAAACATGGTGACCACACTTTGATTACACTTGAACAGAACCTTGTGGAACTCTAACTTTTGTGTGCATGCGGAGTCATTATTAACATTAACAAATTGAAATCTGAGAAGTATGACTTACACCAGCCTTGCTCCTTGAGTCCCAGTAGCATGTTTACTGACTGAAAAAAGCTTTTCCTAGTTGTCCATTGTTTTTTAATGAAAGCAAAACTTGATATAACTCTATAGTTGGCTCAAACATCTGGGTCAAGAGAAGCCTTTTCAAGCAGATGTTCAATTGTTTCAACCATAAACGCCTGCAGTATATCTCCTGTTAATAAAGATAAATGAATTTAATTTAATATGAAAATGTGAATTAAATGTTAAACATACTCAAACAACATAGTTGTCTATGAAGTTTTAGAAAGGGTTTAGATGAGGACACTGTTAAGTCGGCCAAGCGAGATCAATATGAGAGAAGCAGGTTATAAGAAAAAGATAAATTAAAATGATATGGTGGGAGGAAGTAGGCCCCCTGTCCTTGGTGTAGGAACAGAGTACCCCTTCCTATGAGAACAGGATGACTCCCCCCCCCCACCTCTTCCTGTGACATTGACACAGTTCTTCAACAGAGGGAGACACAGTGAATGGACACTAGACTGACAGTGTTCTGTGTTGGATCAGCTTTAGCCGTCAATCCTCTGCTGTTGTCCGGTAATTTTAATCCTGCAGTGGGAGGAACACATTATACCAGCCCCTCATCCCTGCCCTCTTTCTCCTGTTACCTCATTGGCTGACGCAACCAGCGCTCACACTCTGCAGGCAATGGGAGCACAGATGAGACGTGTGACAGGAGAAAGCACAGGGAGTGTTATCACGTGATTGTCAGTAACAGATGGGTGCATGTGTACTTGTGTTTGTAAGGGAGTGTAGGTGGTAAAGGGTTTAATTAGTGACAGCTTTTAGACGGAAGCTTCTAGGGACCAATATATTTTCATTTATTACTTTATCATTGAACGTTTTCCAGCTCAAATGATTGTGATTACCTCAAGTGTTCCATTTCTGTACATAATGTAATATGTTATAATGTAATGTAATAGATGACAACTGCCAAAACCCCATTTAGATCTTCACAGATAAAATATTAAATATAATGAAGTATGTTAATGCATACCTGTGTCAAATGCAGCCTCCAGCTTAATGTCTCCATGTAGACAACCAGCACAGCATTGATCAATTTAAATGAAACAGAAATAAACATTCAACATAAAGTTGTCTCTTATGTGTCCTCTGTGCCCAGGTCTTCTCCCTGGACAAAGTGGATGCCTTTCAGGACTTCTACAGCCCCTTTAAGGCTGATGTGAAGAATAACATGCTGGAGCGTTGTGCTGAGCAGATCGCTACCTTCTGTGCCACGCTCAAAGAGTATCCTGGAGTCCGATACAGAGTGTAAGAACAGCCAACACATTACATCAATGCATTTATCGTAAATAGTAATTAGATTGCATTCATATAGCGGTTATATTTCTCAAATACATTCACACAGCACTTCTACATGCAGCCCTTTATCCATCACAGCATCGTACACTGTCGGCACAGCCATCAGAGACAATTTGTGGTTCAGGATCTTGCCCAATGACAATTCAGAACGGACAACCTTCTCTACTCTTATATGAATTATGGTTGGCAACGTATTGGGAACCACTCACAGTGTAATCCATAGCAGTTCAACAGCACCACCAATGATATCCTACAGTACATTTATCAGAACTGCATGGATTTCTCAGAGTTTTATCCAAACTACAAGGATATGTATGTTGTTGCTGTTCCACAAAATACTCTGTGACACAAATTAAGATAAGACACTGGACTTTTCACTCTAGCTTTTTTAAATGATTTTTTAACTTCAGGTTTGACTAAGTTTTAGGCTGTAATTACTTACAGTGTTATTCTACTCATAGAGACCATGATAATTTAATTATTAAGTTAATTAGCCTTTTTTTTGTTAGGTATATTAACACATCATCAGTGTTTCCTGGTTAGAAAACTGTTTTTGTGAGTTGCTGTATGTGAGTATGTGTTTGTGGGTTCAGGGAGTACAAAGACTGTGCAGTTCTGGCCCAGATGCTTCAGGAGAAGCTGGACGGCTACAAGGCTGATGACCCCGCCATGGGAGAGGTAGGGATTTGGAGCTAAATGATAAAAGTACTAACGATGAGAACCAGATGCATCATGGAAAAGTCACTATGTGCAAAAATATATAACCCTGCACTCACATGATACAGCACGTATCATTTCAAGCGGACGAACTCTCCAGCCTCCCCTCCCACTCAGCGCAGAGTGTCATATCGGAAACATTTAGCCCGTGAAAATCATGGTTGAGACGTTGTTTTCGTAGCATTACAGTATAACATTTGATAGAAAATAAGTACAAAACCTCATTATCGTATACGTTTTCTCTATATTAATAAGATAGTAAGATTTTAAGGTCTTGACCTTCTATGTAAAGTGCCTTGAGATAATGTATATTATGATTTGGCGCTATACATTGAATTGAATTGAATTGAATCATATATGGATAATTTGCAAACATCGTGATGAATTATTCTTTGATTGGTGGACACATATATAACCTCGGTGTAAGTGTAACCACACTTTTGAATGCTTATTTCTCTCTGCCATTGTAATTTTTACAAGCAGTTAATTGCACTGCCTCTGTGTAGCTGACGTGTGATTTTGACTGTGCATGTCAGTGAGAGAGCAGCTCCTCCCCTTTGTGATAACAACTCCAATGTAGTTGATTTTTAGTGAAGGATGATATGCTTCTTTTGTTTGAGAGACTATTATAAATAGATTATTAAAAAGTCCAAAGCTACGTTTAGATGTTATGTTTAATCAGCAGCTCTAGCTGACACATTCTTTGGGAAGTGTGAATGACCAAAGTCTCTGGTTTGCAAAAAGGATCAAAATCCGTTTGACCACATATTGTGAAATTCAGCGTTATATAGTGGAATGGTGAGCTGTAAGAAAACATATCTGTCAGCCCCCCGTCAGAGTTTCATGTCTCCTCCAGGGTCCAGACAAGTCTCGTTCTCAGCTGCTCATTCTGGATCGTGGCTTCGACCCTGTGTCACCTATCCTGCATGAACTCACGCTGCAGGCCATGGCCTATGACCTGCTGGGAGTCGAGAACGATGTCTACAGGTAAAGAGTCACTGAGTCTGAGCTTTCATTTAAATATTAATTTTGTTTTATTACTGTTACTGTCACCTTTTGGTCATATATTCTTCAGTGGCGGCAGGGCGGCCCTTTAAAGTTAAACACAACACAAATGTCTCAGTCTTTATGCTTCAACAAAGCCCCTGCCTCAGTACAAGGAAGAAGCAAAACATCAGGCACCAACAAACAGATGATACATTTCTTCAATAATAATTCCATTTCCACAAATAGAAGACTCCCTCTATAAGCAGCACTCCTGCAGACTGTCACCTCTCTCACCCTCTCTGTTAGTTTTGAGACCAGTGGGATGGGAGAGACGAGAATGAAGGAGGTGCTGCTGGATGAAGATGATGACCTGTGGCTGACTCTGAGACACAAACACATCGCAGAGGTGTCAACGTGAGTGAAGTCCACCCTCTCCGTACACATATACAGATTCACAGCATGGCATAAAAGAAATACAAGAGCAACTCCCTTTTCATGTTTCAAATAGACTTAATTCAATGTTTTTGTCACAGAGAAACGTTAAATAGATAAATTTGGTTACATTTTCCACATTATTACAAATAAATGAATAGGGTGCCAGGGCTCGAAAGTCTTTTGTTTTATATCATATATTGTTTTTGTAGTTCAGTTAATATTTGTCTGTAGACGACTTCCCTTGAGATGGTGGTCTAGTTTTCTATAAATAGTCCTTACATAACAGATTTACAATTTAAATCAATATTAAAAGTAATAGATGTCATTTCCCCCCCAAACATCTGGAGACCACTGACAGTGTAAAAGCAGGTGTTGGATTGTTGACAAAGCAGCTACATATGACGTCTGCAAGTCACCGACAGAAACTTGCAACATTATGTCTCTTTTATCTTCAGATATGCTTTTACTACAACTTCCTTTTCCATCACACACCTAACCCACCAGAGACACATAATTCATCTCAGGGAACATGATGCAGAAAACCCCAGTTTGGTTTTCCTGACCGTCTCTTTATCAAACGTGTTCACAGGGCTGTGACCCGTTCTCTGAAAGAATTCTCTAACAGCAAAAAGATGAACACTGGAGAAAAGGTAAAGAACACACTGGACTCCCTCTGCTCTAGTTTCAGGATCTGTGCTGCTGCTCCTAAATGTCCTTCACGGAAGCAAAAGCAAAGAACAACACAGAAGTCCTGTACTTCACTGGGATTTCTACTATTTCTTCAAATTCAAATACTGTATTATGGAAAAAGACACCAAGTCAACAGAAGAATAATTCCATTAAATGTATTATTTGTAACCGTCTCCTGAAGCTCGGCATCAGTTAAACAGCGATAGCGATAGCCACACTGAATTTAGTTTGACGTTGCATACTTCTGCTTGTTACATATACCAAACATGATTATAAATCAAATCAGACGCTTCCATTCTCTTGGGTTATACATTGGCCCCCCCTTAGCTCAACTGCTGCCTGGCAGCACAAGTATAATGCTGTGTCTCCTGCATGTGCACTAGAGGATGCAGGTCCTCTTGTGTCCTCCTCCTGGCCTATATTTTATATAGCGTACTGTTGGTAACTTTAATCCAGAACTATATTTATTAAATCATGTATATTCGTTATGTAAAATATAAATAATTCTTAATAACTAATAATTATAGCTGTCAAATATACATAATGGAATAAAAAGTACCTTATCTGCTTCTGATAGTATTGAAGTAAAAGTCCAAGTTTTTTAAATGGTATACAAAACATAATACTGTAGTAACATATATCAGAGGAAAACTGTAATTAACCATTTTTGCTATTAATAAAGTGCATCACTCATCCGTGTGTTTCAGACCACCATGAAGGAACTGGCTCAGATGCTGAAGAAGATGCCCCAGTATCAGAAAGAGCTCAGTAAGGTAGGAGCTCAGGCGTTACTACTGTGCATGTGTAGCTCCAGCATGTTCATGGCTCCCAGGGAGGGCACCCAAGAGCACGACTCAGGAGACAGATGTGAATTTGAAAAAAACACAGGATACAAAAAGTGAAGCATGCAAACAAGGGACAAAGGGCTGAGGTAAATTCCAAAACTTGATCAGGTGCTGGAAAGCTAAGGCATCTGGCAGAGAGAGAGTGGAAATGAAGCGATATATCGCCCAGACCATAGAGCTGATAAGGGAATGTAGAACAGGAGAGCAGATGAGTGGACAGGAGTGTTTCTACTGGTGAGCATGTCATTCTGCTGGTGGGGAACGCAGGTAGGTGGCAGTCTTAAATTCAGCACCATGAGGTCCTGTATCACTTCATGTGGGAGGTAAAGTGACCTCTGTATCACTTCCTGTATTAAGTTGGGTTCAGGCTACAAAATATAAGCCTGAAAAGAGCCTGACCCCACTGATCTGAACTATGGAACTATTCATACTTTCAACTTGTATTATTGTGTACTTGTACTGTTTTCATAATGCACATCATAGGATCCTCACAACATCCTGACATACCTTTACCCTCTGGCCCATAATATAACAAAGCTGCTCTGCATCATGATGACATTGACCAGTGTGTACAAAACATGCTTTTTTAATGTATCGACTATTTCTTCTCTGCCAAATATCTCACTGACACTAAGCATCTCTCCTCTCTGACCTCAGTATTCAACTCATCTCCACCTGGCTGAGGACTGTATGAACCGCTACCAGGGTACTGTGGACAAACTCTGTCGTGTAGAACAGGTAAATCCGAGACACATTGCATTGCTTAGTTAGATTTGGTTGTAGACTGTGTGAGGATGTCGTTACCTGGTACAGAGGATATCAAACCTCTGGGTGGCACTGAAGACTCGAGGTGGAGGCACAGAGGGAAATATACTTGGGGCAGTGACTGTGACACACAGCTCATCTCATCAGCTCTTCTGTATGAAATAAATTCAGTGGCATGTCTGTACATCAATATTACAGAACTGAACTGCTGAGAGCAAGTTTTAATTGTGCCACTTGACAAAATGTAAAAATCACTAAATGTCACTCAGTCCACAACTTTAACTCACTGACTCCAGGGAAACATCTTGATTGCTAGACTACTTACCATGTATTGTTGAAATAGAGCTTATGTGGAAGTCATGTTGAGCTTTGGCTTCTTCGGTCCTCTGTCCTTTTAGGATCTGGCAATGGGCACTGATGCAGAGGGAGAGAAGATCAAGGATCCCATGAGGCTGATTGTACCAGTTCTACTAGACCCCAATGTCAGTGTCACTGACAAGATTCGCATCATCCTGCTCTACATCTTCCTCAAGAACGGTCAGATCCCCACTGTCCTGCTCCTGTCGTTAGCCCTGTAGTTCAACACATTTCATTTGAATCTTCTTTTGCTTTTGTTTTTTTTTTTGTGCTAATCAATTCTCAGTTTACCATTTTTGTAAATGTGCATGCCCTCATGCATGTGTGTGTTGCATGTGTAGACTGAAAATCTGTGCTGCATGTGTTTTTGTGTGTCTGTATGCGTGTGTCAGGGGTGACTGAGGAGAACCTATGTAAGCTCCTTCAGCATGCCAACATCCCACCAGAGGACAGCGACATCATTTCCAACATGGCCCACATGGGCGTTCCTATTATCTCTGAGGTGAGCTGTCCTGGCTCAGTGTCTCAGTATACACTTGGCACCTTGTCCACTACGTCCTTAATACTCAGTACTTGGTAAAACTGTTATTCAGGACCACTGATATATAATATAGTATGATGAAATAGGAAACAGAAAGTTTTTTTATCGTTTCTGTTTTCTAAACCTTTTGAGATGATCACTATTTCCTAAACCCAGTAGCACAATAAGAAAAAACATTATAATATATTTTAAAAAGTTGAATCAAGATCATCATCTGGCACGCTCTTCTTCTGCCTCAGTGAGTTGATCTGCTGATGTGGGTGAAGAAAGCACATGAGAGTTGAGTGTGGTTTGTTCACAGGGCATCCCCAAGAAAACCAAGAAGCCGGATCGCAAAGAGCGAATCAGTGAGCAGACCTACCAGCTGTCCAGGTGGACTCCTCAGGTCAAGGATCTCATTGAGGTACCTGACATGTGGCAGAATGACGACACACTGATGTTTACTACGCACATGCATCTTAACACTGTTTTATTAATGCTGATTTTCAAAATGGAATCTTCCTTTGAATGATACATCTTCCATCAGTTAGTTTGACAGGGTGACGTATCTTGAAAGGAATAAGGCCCCATTCAGAGTGGTTTCATTTCTTTATGGGAGGCGGAGCTGGGGGCCCAAAGCAGGATAAGTTTGTGGGCAGAGATAGGCAAGATTCTGTACGTGCTTATAGCCGTTATTCATTTGAAGTCTATTAGTCTAAATCATTATTTTAGTTACTATAGTTAAATGATACGTGACATCAATTTGTTTCAAAGAAATATACATATTTTTTCAGTCTTGTTCCACACTCCTGTGTCATTGGTTACATTACATTTTCACTTTTTCAAAGTACCTTAATAAAAAGACGTATGTTCTTTATCTGGTAAATATTTCGTTTATTCACTGTCCAACCTGTGAATTGTTCACTCACTGACAGAGGGAGCCCTGCCTCCTTCACATGCTGTACATACATATTAATGTTAGTGTTGACAGTTTTGTACAAACTGTATGTCTTTCTACATTTCACCCCCACCCCGGTAACAATTACCGTCACAATGCTCTATTGCTGTAAACTCACTGATCATGTTGTAGCCTATGTAACGCATCTTATTTTCTAGAAGAAGAAGTGCTTGTCCTACTTAAAAAACTTCTTGGTTGAACTCATAGAAGGAAACATACTGATGCCAAAAACAAAGAACAAAAATGCAAAGTTTTACACATGCTTTTTATTATAATGTAAATTCTAGTGAATGCTATAGATTCAGTTTCTTTCATTTTTCTCAAAGATGGTTTCTGTCATTTGTCACACTGATGTATGTCCAAGTGCTCATTTGTTTTCCATTAAGTCTGATTTTAATTAGTTTTTTGACCTCATAAAATGAGATGAAATGTCATTATTGACATGTGTGTTGTGCAACCTTGATAGGTTAATCGCTACCCGAGAGACTCTGGCTTCAAATAACAGCATGGTGCAAAATCACAGCATTTCTGGATCATGGGAAGAAATGGAGATGCGCCGCTCGTTTTTATATACTATCTTTGTCAGGGAGCTTAATGCAGAGGAGGTGGCCTTGGTGACCAGAAAGGACGAATGAGGCTTTAGATAGTATTTTGGTTGGGAACTGTGACATAGATGAGTGTGTTTGTGATGCTAACTGTTTTATATTTTCCCACAGGATGCCATTGAGGACAAACTTGACCCCAAACTGTACCCGTATATTTCCCAGCGACAAGTGTCCTCCAAAACCAGTGCTCCATCCAGGTGTGTTGCTTATATTTCACTGAACACATAACTTGTATAAACGGCTATAAATGAAGTTTAATGGAGCCATTATTATTGTATTGATTTTTAAAATCTATTTATTTATATCTATCTTCATTTTTCTCACCATCCAGTGCTCGCTATGGTAACTGGCACAAGAACAGAGGCCCCACAGAGATTAAGACGGGGCCGAGGATCATCATCTTCATTATTGGAGGGATGACGTATAGCGAGATGCGTTGCGTGTATGAGGTCACCCAGGCCAATGGCAAGTGGGAGGCCCTGATCGGTGAGTTCACTGAACATTGCTGACCAGAGTATTCAGCATTCCTTAAAGAGGCACTCTGCCAGTTTTACACATGCAGGTCATAATGTCTGTCTCTCTGAAGGAGATAATAACCCAGGAAGTAGATGTATGGAGTTTGAGAGACATGAGCACAGTCCTGGGAGGAAGTCAAGTTGCATTATGGGATGCAGGGTCACAACAGTAATGCTACTACCAATACCTTATATATTTAAATTAGTATGAATTCAGTTTTTATTTAAATACTATTGACATTTAATTTAAAATTACATTTCCACTGTGATCTACAGTATTCATTTTATATTTCATATCGACAACAGTTTGTTTGATCCTCGTTTAAATTGTTGAGATGTGTGTGTGTGTGTGTGTGTGTTATAGATGTTGTATTTACTGTATTTGCTGTGCAGCTGACTCATCAGGACTTGACTCCTTTGTAATGGGATTAACCACATTCTCTGTGAGAACTGATACGTTATTGTGACGTTCAGGAAATGCAGTGTCAGGTTTGGGAAATAAAGGAGAGAACAAGTGACTCTGCAAAATCCTCTGCAGTTCAGATATCGTCAGGCCTTTAGTCAGACTGCTTTGTCAGACTTGCCTGTAGCTTCACCCTGACCTCTATGGACAGGCTGTATTTAGCAACATTTGTTACAACATCGTTATAAGACTAATGTGGATTCTTTAACAAACAAGGATCCACCCAGGATTCAGTCCGTGCTGAGATTTCAGGTTTTTGTTCCCTGTAGGTTCCACCCACATTCTCACCCCACTTAAGTACTTAAAGGAACTACAACACCCAGACTTCTTGGACCCCAATGCCGCACCAGAGGGCACAGAGGAGACGCCTGCAGAATGAAAAGACATTTGGAAGTAAATACACAGGTTATGATGTGATTTGTGTATCTCAGTGTTACCTGTGTGCCCAGTGACTCTCCTCCGACCCACCGATCCCTGCAGTATTTTTTGTCAGTGGTTTTTACTGATAACCCAATGCTGCCTTATTGTTTGTGCAGTTTCTGACCCTAAACCCTGTGTTTCATAACTATATCCCTGTCATATTTTCCACTACACTGTCTTGTTGGCAGTCTTACCTTTGATCAACTGTGCAGTCCTTTTACATCCCTGACTTCACTTTTTCCCACTAACACTGTATATACATCATTTTGATAGTTGCAGCACATATATTTAGGTAAATCATCCTGGATATAGAATGTGGGGCAGTTTTGACAATGAGATTCATAGAAGTTACACATGTGTTGGAACAAGGTCTGGCCAATTAACCGAAAGAGTATCAAAACTGACATTGATAACCTCTAACCGACTTAATCTTGCTAATGTGGATCATTTGGTTAATGCTTTCCTCAATGTGTGCATTAACCAACTGTCTGATTTTGTACAGTACTTGAGGTTTACTTTGTGCATGTTTGATTCGCTCGAGAGTTTATGAGACATATATTTACACAAGTAAAAAAAGTCCGAACATTTTCTGTGCAAGCCTGCGACACACAACATGAGACGTAAAGTGACCGAAAGTCACCTTGGATTTATAACTTGGATCATGTGACTGTCAGTCTGTGTGAAGAGCGACAGAGAGCAGACACACACACACTCCTGCAGACAGGAGAGAAGTTGTTCCTGCAGATTAGAACACAACACTGTGTTTAAACTGTTGCAGAAGAAGCGTTCATTCATCATAATCAAGGTAGAAGTTTGACACAATCTTAATATGGATTTGAAGTTGTATCGTCCAGCCCTAGTTGAACCAATATACTATTTTATACCAGTTAAGATCCAGACATTAAAGCCTGTAAAGCTCCTTTTAGCATATATTATATCACTAAAGCATGTGAACACAACATATCAGCACCCACACTTTTATGATTAATAAGTAATACTACTACATTTTAGTTTATAAAGGTTTTGTGTTCTTAGCAGTGTGTTGTGAACCAATTCACTCTATGTTTCGGTGGTCAGTCCAGGAGCATGTGCATGCTCGTGCACGTGAGTTCCTCTCTAAACAATTGGCCCTCTCCACTTATATGAAGTGAGATGGCTTCAGCTTCATCACAAAACAGTGACAGTTGTATACAGTCTATGGGCTACACACAGCAGTTAATATGAACTTAAAGTAACTTTCAAACTTTGGTGAGTGTAAAGATTGTCGAACAGAAAATGGTGCTCATGTGACAAAGTGAGGCAGGACAGGATAAAGGTGTCAGGAACACTGATCCTACTCTATAATCAACTGTCAGATAGAAATATGGCTTTTCTTAAGCTCTTGTCAGTCCTCACATGTCTTCTTCATGTGTAAAAAGGAAAGAAGCAAGGAGACATAAGTGCTTGCTGTTATTCACATTTGTGTGATTCATGGCATCAAGTCTACAAAAACACACGAAATACTCGAAGAAGTTACAAAAGACAGATAAGGAGAGCAGTTGGATGTAGCCAGAAGAAGCCATGAGCAGGTTTTTACCTCATCTTCCAGTGAGTCTTATCTTCTGCCCCTTATGTCCCTCACCATGAAGACTGACACAAAAGACCATTACGAACACTGAAGTCATGGATGGATTGTGACACAGCATGTCCTTCAACCCTCCTACATAGAAAGACACCAGTTGTTTAGTATTGTTTTGTTATTTGTGTGTTTGTAGTGATTGTATTCCTTTTTGTGGTTGTTTTATGTCCTTACCACAGGGCCACTGAACTGATGCCTGGTCAACTCATTCAATAATATGTGCAATTTGAAGATAATATTTTAATTTCAAATGAAGCAAACTTAGAGTATGATATAAGATAATGTAGGGCTATAGCCAGTGATTAACCTATGACACACATATAATAACTTCAACTGCAAAGGAAAATTGAACAAAGGGGAAAAACCCAAACACCCAAAACCTGCAGGAAAGTCAATGTGTGATATATAGTGATATAAAAGAAAGAATTATGTCACCATTAATTTAATGCAAATTTGCAAATAAAAAAACACACCTTGCTAGTATGTGAGTGTGATTTTTTTTTTTACCCAGTCTGGTTTTTAAAAACTTTGTAAAATGCGATGCGATTCATTTTTCTCAAACCACAGTTCAATGCAGAAGCAATTTTGATTATCAGAAGTCATGCAGCCTTCTGTCTGAACTTCCCTTTTTGTTCCCTCCAGGGCCGTCCTGTGATTTGTTGCTCTGTCACTGTTCTTTGTCTCCCTTTATTTTATTTATTCCTTTATCAGTCCAGTTCTCTTTTCAAACACAGTTCTTCAGCACATGTCTCCTAAGTGCAGCCTCGTCCTCACAGACAGACATAGTGATTTTGTCTCACTTCTTAAAGAACTGCTGAGCAATTTTTCATAGCTTTTAACAATGACAATAAATAGGTATTCTATTCTATTCTCTATTCTATACTCTATTCATGTAATGGCACTTAAACAAGTTGTGCCATCATGTCAGTAATGTACTGTATACACATGTGACACTACATGCTGGAGCCTGACCAGTCATAGCTTGTATTCTGTCATGACTTGCATTGTGTATCGAGGTAAAGTTAAATAGACTCATGTCTTATATCCCAACTTTCCACATTTCTAAAATCACACCACCTTTAGGCTGATTTCCCAACATTCATCAGAGGTTACTCTCTAACTACGTAAGCTCAGCAGTAATTAGGCAGAATATAATAACAAATTACAAAGCCCTCCAGATCAAACTCTATGAAGCCCTGAAGAACAGGCGAGAAAAGAAATTCAAATTCTGATCTCTCAGGTATTCCATAAATATTCCTCATGGCTGCACAACCCTTTACATTAGTTACCATAAGTCATGAAAGGTAGATTTAAGGCTCAGAATAATAAGTGCTGAATTTATTAAGGATACAGTATGCAATAATACCAGATTAATGTATAAATAGGAAGATCTTTGAAAAACTGATGGAGGGGTGGGTGAAGTGTTTGAGTCCACAAAGCACTTCTGGAGTCTCAGGGGTTAACAGCGTTGCAGCCGAATCCAGCACAATTGAAGTCAATCACGACTGCTTCTTCAGACAAATACACAATTTCCCCCTTGGATCAATAGAATATTCTGATAAAGCAACAGAAAAAATGCCTCCATTCTGCTCATGTGGTGTCATCCAAGTGTCCACCAGCCCTGACATTCATATTCAACTCTAAACTGAGTCATTTACTCAATGTTTCTAGTCTCAATGTCCTGTGATAACATCCTCCAAGGTGCGTTCACTTACCCTTGGGCACACCATCGTGTGGCTACATCCACTAGCATCGCCAAAAGTGAAGTGTATAATGCCTTTCTTTGGTAATTGAGATCGCAATGAAAAGTGATCATGTGTTCTCTTGTGTCTTTCAGGATCAACTGAAATCCTCACCCCTGCTCGCCTTCTGAAAACCCTCAAAGACCTAGAGAAAGAAACACAGACCAGCTAAGAAGTTCTTGTAGTGCCCCCCCCCCCGCCCCAAGCATGACACACCTAACATACACTCGATGCTGTGCAGGATTCGGTGGCTGCTGACTGTGTTTTAAATTGAGCGTGTTGATGTTGATCAAAATGTATGAATTTATGTTCTGTGTGTTTCACTGTGCTCTGTGGGATGATCATTTGGAAAAGTCATGTCATGAATTAGTTTAGTTGACTGGATGAGATCTGGAGATAATGGGATATAAATGAAAACTGTAGAATCGAGTGTTAAGTTATGACGGAACAAAGTGGGCTTTTCCATCGGACACTCATTTCACATTATTACACAGCATATTCACTTCTCCTATAACCCATCCCCCACCAGTACACAGCTTCCTTCTTTTATTTTGTTGGAGCATGCCAGTTTTAATGTAGTGCTTTCCATACAACCACACAACACTGTATAAATAACAGATTTACTGTGATGTGTCTGACCTTGGAAATGCTGATGTACTCTGAAGTTATATTTAACTGTAGATTAGGCATCTCAAAGATAAATATACAGTTTAGGTGTTTTGTGCATTGTCTCAAGACTCAGCAGAGTTTCTGACATTGTATTTTTGTCCTGTAGAGATTGAGCTACATTTTGCTCCCCCATGTTTGACCACAGTGTTGTCATTGGTTTTTGTTTTTTGTAGTGATTTTCTCTAACTGTGTATGAAGAGCGAGGTCAGTAATCACTGTGTTTTTATGTCCACATGCATGAGCAACGCTTGCTGCAGGATATGTGTTGAGCTAATAAAGCGGCTGCTATTAAACTCTTCATTTAGTTTTTGTTTTAATTCTGCAGCAACGTCAAAATGATCCTGAAATATCCAAGAGCTCTTGAAAGTACAAAGTTAAAGCACAGGTCATCTAAATGTCATAAAACTCAGTCATAAAAATATAAAAAGCCCACACACAGTGGGATTTGGAAGTCATCATTGGAAGTCATAAATCACCTGCTTTTAAAAAAGCAGGTCCTGAGTCTGTTCCAATGATGGTGTCTCTACTAACTCAGGAAAAACTTTTAGCATTGGGATAATTTATTAATATTAGTTTAGAAATTAAAACCATAAAAACTTTTCTGCAACAAGCTCTGAATGTCCAACCATTACCTATGATCACGATATATTGGCACTGACCGAAAGAATAAAACTTGATCTAAGAGTCAGAATGTTGGGTGAGGTGATTCTTTAACTGAATGGATGAGGGCATCAAGTTTTTGAGGACATCTTTGTCAAAATCTAGTTTTATAACTTTATTACTTCCATATAATGTATAAGTTTACCTGGAAAATATTCCTCACTAAATGTACATTGAGGCTAATATCTAGATATGGACTTCTTTTTCTTCTTTTTCACTTTGCTCAAACTTACATACATCTAACAGTGTCTTTTAATTTCTACTCATAAATATTGATTTCATCACATTTTGTTCCAGGTAACACATTAGTTTACCTTGATATAGTTCTGTCCTTCCTGCATTACGTTTAAATGGGATTAACCTGGTTATGTAATCTATTCCAAACAATATAGCTGTATTTCCTTATTATTCCACTGGAGGGAGCTTTTGTCCAGTGCTGATAAAAGCTGTTTAAACAGTGGGACAGATGAGGCTCTGATGGCAAACTCAGCCGTGATGGAAAATTACTTATTTCTCATTTAAGAGAACTGGATTGCTGTTTTGGTCAATGCCATTGTGCAGATGAAAAGGTGAGATGAAAAAGGCAATGAGCCGATCTGGACGCATCTCAGCAGCCAACCAGGGTCAGTGTGCAACATTACAAACCCTCAGCAACGTGTATTATACCTGCTCAGTGAATAGGCTGGCACTCTGCCCGAGGTATAAGCAGTAGACACTGCATTTCCTTTCAGAAATCCTGTGGAAATAATGCCGTGCTATCAGTCTGGCACAAGCTCCATTTATTTATTTATAGAGGTTTTAGTTCTCTCAAGGCCGCAGGCAGAGAGGGAGGCAGCGTAAGATGTTGTGAGTCATTTCAGCACTATGGAAACCAGTATTTTCTAGAGACAAAGCTGAGAACAGCTGAACACATGTCCACCTCTGTTACGTGGAATACAACACAAGATTATATAACTAGAGCATCTCGTCAAGTCTGTGCAGAGGGAATTCCTCACAGCTTTAGTTTCAGTCTCTACTCCAGGCCCATCCTCACTCACTGCCCAAACTCCTTCCATTCAAAGATGGAAATTGTTTAGCATATCCAAGAGAGTCTCTGTAGAATTGTAGAAACCAATTCAACATCAAGATCACAAGATCACATCTTCACTTGTGATAGTGTATCTAAAGCTGCTTTCAGACATGCAGAGGCTGTATGTGTGTTTGCAAACGGCCAAGTGAGAGCCTCATGAGTTTCTGTGGACCTTCTCTGTCCAGCCTCTCGTATAAAGTCGGCAGAAAGTGGGGAGGAGGCTGGAGGAGATGTGATGTGTGATGTGCGAACACAAGTGAGTTTGTTGAAGATGTTTCTAACACGCAACAGAAGCAAAATAAAAGACAACCAACATTTCTCTGGATGATAAAGCCATGTCATACAAGTAGAAGACACTGACAAGAATGCCAAGAGAGTAATAAGGACTGACGCTGGTGTTGACGTGCTGTAAACAAAAACATGTGACCTCCGCAGCAGAATGAATACAGTACATCCTGCCCCTGTATGCTGCACCACCCCTCACCTGAGTCCTGCGGAGGATTTGTTGCCGCTTGTTGCGTCCGAGCGGAGAATCTCCTGCTGAGTTGTGCATGTGCAGAAAGTTTAGACCCATTTCTCCGGACATCTTCCAGAGATCATGTCTGAGCTGCAGACACTAGGGCCACAGCAAACAGCACAAAAAAAGAGAAAACCGCCCAAATTTTGAGAGAAAAGAATTTATAAAAAGTCAGAATAAAGTCAACAAATGGGCTGCTGTGTCATTGTAAAAGGAAAACTGGTGTGAGTTTGTGAACATGAAGAAAACATCTGAGGTTGTCTGAAAGTGAAATTGCAGTGAGAGGAGTTCACCTCTTTCTGTAATCGCACAGTTGATATTATCTGTGTTTATAATTTAGTACATCCACAAACATTTTCAAATATCAAAATAAGTATTATCTAATAATATAATCTTCTTCACAGGTTTATTATGGGACTACACCTTAGAAATGATCTCTGCACATGTAACTGAGCCGGTGGTATCGTATGGTCAGAATATGTGGATTACACATGTTTATCAAACCTTGCAATCTGTTTTCCAGAACACAGTGAACATTCCTCACATCTTCTTCCATCGGGTTAGCACCTATGAAAATAAAAGCAGCAGAAACTCTTCTTCCCACATTTAGTTGAGTCAGCAAGCTGTTAATGGAAAAATGGAAAGGAGGCCAGCTCGATATAAATGAGATTGTCCTCCTGATTTAAAACAGAGCAACAGCCCGGTGTGCGTGGTGCATTTAAAGCAGTAGTCAAGCAGCAGCAGACAGGAGAGAAATGCAAAAGTATTCGCTCCCTAATTCTCTTTCCCCATGACTGTTTCAGAGCAAATGAACACGGAGTGAGCAGCCTTACACCAACTTGTCTGTCATGTTATAGCTTAATCAGATGGTGTGGATTTTCCTCAGAGAAACCGCACATTGATCAGATAGAGCACAAACGAAGCTACTGAGAAAGAAATCACATGTCAAGTGGTAAAACAGAACAGTCAGATGTGCAACACAAGTTATTAGGTCAGAAGCAGGCAGGCTTTACCTGTTGAGGAGCCCTGAAAGAGAGGAGGTGTGGGCCCCTGAAGAACTCCCTCCCCCCCTCCCATCTTTCCTTATTTATTCATTTTGTATCCTGTCATATTTGATCACACAAATCATATCAACATTAAGTATCTTTCAATTATGAATTCATGAAATCGTACAGATTTTACTTTTTCACTGAGAAACAATCAACACACCAACAACAGTGAAGAAGAAGAAGAAGAAGCCTGGGAGGAGGCATAGGATGCAGATCAAGTTGGTGTAAAATTCCTTGACTAAGCTTAGCGCTGCAAATGTTTTTACTCAAATGTAAAGTCATTCAACATATTTGTGACATCTTGCTAAACAACGCACTGTGCTTTAGTTACAAATTGTCAATGTTTACAAAATAAACTCCTTAAATATGTAAAATTCGATTTTCACACAGAGCCCTGGATCAAGACAGAGCCTGAAGATTAAAATGTATGTAGTGGTCATCTAAAGCCTTTTATAATTTGCGTTGTTGCGATGTTGTATCTGTCGTGCATGTTCTCACAAAATTAATACAAATCAACTGTGACAACCTCGGGGTGGCGGGGCCCCTGGGAGCCAGCGAGCAGCTGCTCTCATTGCCCTGCAGTAAAAATCAGCCTTGTTTAAGAGAGAGCGATCAACTAATGTTTGACCTATTTATTTCTTAACCTTAACACAAAAGGCAAGGTGATGTTCCACATGACAAACAGTCCACGACCTCTCAAGATATTGAATTCACAATCAATACATTGAAAATTAGCATCATGAGTCAATATGAACTCAGATGTCATTTTCTGTTTAGAGGTACAGCAGGTGTCACACTTCTCTTCTGCTGTGTTACCAGTGTCATCTGTAGTTACCTTAGGCTAACCCTGGTCCAGTGGTGTAGTGCAGGGTATACGCTGGTATCATCCCCTGTCTTTGGGTGCACAAAATATGCAAGAGTAGTCTGACATGTCACAGTTTATTATTCAATTTCTGAATCTCCATAAACTCTTGCACAGATCCTGATGCAATCGTGTCTGATTTTGTGTAGCACAAAATGAAAAGCATCCGGGAGGAGGAGCTGGGTATGCAGATTCATATCTGCTGTATCACAGGCTACTGCAGCAAATTCCTTTCTGTTTGATGGGAATTTAATCTAACTGGGTATTTGCCATCGTGCTGCACTTTGAAACTTTGCTAAGAAACTGCCCTTTTCAGCCTTTCACAAAAAAATACTTATTGTGGTTTCTGAGAACAGAATGAGACAGAGGTTATGAAGGTTTAGCGTCTCATGGTTCAGTCTGGCTCAC